CTTTAAGGAGACTGTTGGAATCTTGTAGTATGGTTTCCTGTGCAACTTTATCTGCTGTGTTCATTCTCTCCTTCTTACTGGAGAACCCTTTGGTTACACTCTCCCCATCCTGATGTCTTGCATTTGTCACTTGCTGCTGAGATTTCTTTCTTTTACTTGCAATAGATGATGAAATTAACTTTTCATTTTCTGGAAGTTTTATTAAACCACACTGAGCAAATTCATTAATTAGTTTCTCAATTCTTGTGGTAACCATTGATGAGCCTACTGAAGCTGGGGCCTCAGAAATGGTTTTATCAGTACCAGAGTTGTTTCCTGAAGGGTGAGTTGTATCTGCTGAGATAGGACTAAACCTATCACTGGGGTTATCAAAAGGTCTGAAGGTCTTGATACCAGTTTGGTTGCCTGATATTACACTATCAACTTTATCTTCCTCCACAATTGAGTTCTCTGAAATAGTCTGTGGCAAGCTACTATGAGCTATGTCTAACATCCTCTGACTTGTTGTTTCTATAACACCAGTACTTACACCACTTGACTTGAGCAATCTGCTTTCCTTTTTTCTTTCTAAAGATGATTCCATCTGCTCCTCATTACGGATCTGAACACGTACTGGTTTGTTAGATAATGATGACATTTTACTGCTAGAATGTGTGAACATATGATATTCAGATTTGTTTTCCTCATCTTTCAGTTCTTCACTATAGGAAAACTGTCTAATCATTTTCTCTTGAATTTCTGTTTCAGATAGTAAGGTCACACTCCCTATTACAGACTTCTTTTGTCTTACTCTCTTTGGTCCAGGAGTAGGAGGTCTATAAAAATGGTTCTTTTCTTGATCCCGAGTTCCCTGAATGGCATCTGTATCCCTAGCAGCACTCTTCCAACTAGCAGAACTGCACGCTTCAACCCTTTGATCTATCAGTTGAGTGTTTATCTCCAGTTGAGTGTTTATCTCCTCTACCAAACTGTTTGCTTGATTATTGCTTTTCACCATAGGTAAGATTTCTGCAGACAATGAACATGCCGCAAGCTTTAAACTGGATGACTGATCATCTGTTCTGCCTGAAAAACTGCTTACCTCACACTTTTCTTCATTATTAGAAAGATCAGCTCTGCTGACAGTGGTTGTCCATTTTATGGTTTCTTCCTCTTTTATCTTAAATCGAACTTTCATCTCAACTGTCATAGTGCCATCTCGATTAAAGATAACTGATTTTTCAATATCATCTTCAGAAGGATATGTCAGTAAATTCTGAGAATCATGTTTTTCTAAAGCCAAGAAATTCTCAGGAGCATAAGAACAGTCTGAGTCACAAACATTATTATTTTGCATTTTGTGAGAAGAAACAGAATAAATCTGGGACCTTGGGCCTGAAGGTACATGTGTGCTCACTTTCAAGATTTTAGGAGTAAAAAATGTCCCATGTCAAAATCCAATGCAGAAAGTAGAGGAGTTATAAATATCCAGTGGAAAAAAATGCAGCAAAGAAAAACAAAGAAAGAAAAGTCAATATGAAAAAAACCATTAATTTCATAGTAAGCATTTATTAATATCATTCATACCCCTATGTAGTCATTGATTATTTGAGAAACTCACTGTACTGTTTAGTACATATCTAAACATTACTCTAAAAATAAGACCTTATGTTATTTCAATAAGGAGCTTCCCAAAAATTTAAGTTCAACAAAGTAATTTTAATAAGGAATGTATAAAGTAGGAGTTCCTAAGGATTCTAATGAAAAATGTTCTGTGGCTGTTTATTAAAAATGAGATTGCAGTCTAACCAAGTACTTACCAATTCAAACAAAGCAAGTAGCAATTTGTAGTATTAATTTTCTATCTGTATCTATCTAAGGAAGACGCTCTGGCAGCATAGTGGTTATGAATCGGGCTGCAAACAGCAAGGTCAGCAGTTTGACACTACCAGCTGTTCTGTGGGAGAAAGATGAGGCTTTCTGCTCCCATGAAGATTTACAACCTCGGAAACCCTGTACAAGGTCACTGAGTCAGAACTGACTCCAAGGCACATTACCATCACCATATATCAAAGGAAGACATCTATAGCTTTACGAAAGTTGAAACATGTTTAGTATTTAAAGGGCTAGATTAATGAAGTAGTAATTATTAATTGCATATTTGTTTGGATAATCAGGCACTTGATTTAAGATACCAAAAACCAAACCCAAACCCACTGTCGCCGAGTCAATTCTGACTCATAGCGATTCTGTATAGGGTTTCTGAGGCTACAAATCTTTATGCCAACAGAAAGCCTCATCTTTCTCCCAAGGAGCAGCTGATGGGCTTGAACTGCCAATCCTGCAGTTAATAGTCCTGTGCTTTTCCTACAGTACCACCAGGATTCCTAAGAGCAAAGTTAGACACAGCCCCAAACATCTAGTTATCTTTTCATGTGTGTCTTTATAAAGTTAACCTTGGTACTCATGCTTATTAAGGACAGCTAAATTTCTATTTGTAGTCTGTGTAAATTTTTACATGCTTGCCATCAGGTACCTTTAAGATTTTAGAGTATAAGCCTAGAAACATTTCTCTTCTTAATTTGAATATACTTTTACCAAACTGGCAAATAAAAGTTCTCTGTTTTTAGGAAGACTAAATCCGCCAAAAAGCATACTCAGTGATTTATATCAGACAAAAAAAAACATCATTTTAGGAAAATAACCAAAGTGAAATATTACCAGTAGATATACTATTAAGCCCTGAACCACTAACTACAAGGTAGTGATTTAAACCTACCAGACACTCCACCGAAACCCTATACAGAGTAGCTATGGTTTGGAACTGACTTGCCAATACTTAGCAACAACATACATCCATGATATAACAAAATAACAATGAGAAATAATAATGAGTTTCCCCCATCTTAGTAATAAATTGTTTAAGATTAAAACGACTTGAAATGCTGTATCATTCCATTTCTAAATAGAATAAAAATTAAGTATAACTCGCAATCAAATCCCTGGTATGGTGATGGACTGCAAGGTCAGTGTGAACCACAAAGTCGGTAGTTCAAACCCACCAGTCACTCCTTGGAAACCCTATACAGGGTCACTATGAGTTGGAACTGACTCGAAGGCACTTAACAACAACAACAAAAATAGCAATCAGTATTTTAGCACTTAACAAAACAATAATTGTAGTTAATGCAGTATGATCTACAAGCTTGGACCAGAAGAGGCCCTCCTCCTTCTGCAAACCAATAGAGGTCCCAATGAGCAGCATCCTAAGGAATTATCAAGCTATTTTATGGTTAGCCAGTCAACCTATATTATGACTGGCTATATGATCTTTTATAAATAAACAAACAAAAGGAAATCTAAGGGGATACTGGGATAATTGCAGAAAGTAGTGCTTATTTGTAGTTATCCACTAGTGTAGTGGTTATAAATTGGGCTGCGAGCCTCAAGGTCAGCAGTTTGAAACTACCAGCTGTTCCTCGTTGAAAGATGAGGCTTTCTGCTCCCATAAAGATTTATAGCCTCAGAAACCCTGAGGGTCGCTATGAGTCGGAACCGACTCCACGCCACATCACCACCACCACCAATGCCATCAAGTCTATTCCAGTTCATAGCATAGGACAGACTAGAGCTGCTCATAAAGGTTTCTAAGATGGTAAATCTTTACGGGAGCACACAGCCTCATCTTTCTCCCACAGAGCATCTGATGAGTTTGAACTGTTCTCCCAATTTTTAACCCATTGCCTCACCAGGGCTCCTGATATCTATAGTTAGAGATTTGAAAAAAGTAAAATGGCTCAGTTAATCTGCTGACTTTAGCTATGAATGCTGCATGCTACTGTTTAGAGAAATCTCTGCATTTACCAGAGACGCCATTTAATGGATTCCAGAGATTTCTCCAAAACAAGAAATATTGGCATACTGATTTTTTAACTAGGTGTTATATGCAAAAAATCCTAGTCTGGCACAAATGGTTTTTCCTCTAATCTAAAGGTCACAATCACACTGTGAAAAAAAAGTCTGGATATCTACTTTTGTAAAGATCATAACCAAGATAATCCTCTAACAGAGGCTTACCTTGAATTGAAAGCTACTCCATGACAATGGATTTGTTTTGTCTTGTTTTTATGTGCAAAAGCCATACTCATCAACTGTGTATCCCTGTAAGATAAGCACTGGGCTACTAACCACAAGGCTACTACCAGCCACTCCTTAGAAATTATGTAAAGAGTCGCTATGAGTAAGAACCAACTCAAGGGCACTGAACAATAACATCCATTTGAATAAATAATTCACTGTCTAATCTGCTGCACAAGACCTTTTTAAAATGTTGAAGAGCAAAGATGTCAGCTTGAGGACTAAGGTGCACCTGACCCAAGCCATGGTATTTTCAATAACCTCATATACATGTGAAAGCTGGACAGTGAATAAGGAAGACCATAGAAGAATTGATGTCTTTGAGTTATGGTGTTGGAGGAGATTATTGAAAGTGCCATGGGCTGCCAAAAGAACCAACAGATCTGTGTTGGAAGAAGTGCAGCCAGAGTGCTCCTTGGAGGCCAGGATGACCAAACTTCGTCTCTCATACTTCGGACATATTGTCAGGAAGGATCAGTCGCTGGAGAAAGATAACATGTTTGGTAAGGTGGAGGGTCAGAGAAAAAGAGGAAGACCCCAATAAGACAGATTGGCCAAGTAGCAGCATCGATTGGCTCAAGCGTGGCAACAGTACTGAGGTTGGCCCAGGATCGGGCAGTGTTTCGTTCTGCTGTGCATAAGGTACCGACTCGATGGCACCTAACAACAACAACAATCTAGGAAAATCTAAAATATAATAAAATTGGATCATCTGACTTCACCAATTTTATTTGAGAATGTTTTTAAAATCTAATATTTTCTCTTCTAGTTGAAGGAAAGTGGTCATTTAAACATAGATTTTTTTGTTGCTTTTCAGGTTTGAAAAAAAAAAAAACAAAAAAGGTCAGGGCTAAAAATAAGGACTATATAATTAAGTGACTTACTCCTTCTGCTTTCTGACCTAGCATTTCCTCTGGGGTACACATGGTGAGCCATCCCTGGTAACCTAGCAGGAAACAAGTACTTCTGGATGTCATAATTTCCTGGTTTAAATGGCTCCCTTCCTGCCACCACAATGGTTCCAGAGGCCAGGATCAGGGACTGGAGGCTGGGAACCTACAAAAAAGCAGAGTTCAGGTGGTCACTTGAGGAACATAAAGTGTCCTTCTTTCCATATGATAATTTAATAGTTTTAACAATCAATTTAGCAACTTACTAGGCTTGAAGGAGCTAATCACCAAGTATTTGTTAGTTGAACATACCAGACAAGGGAGGCAATGTCTTTGTGTGGTACTGGACAGGGAGATTGACTTATTTTATAGAAGTTAAAAAAAAATTAAAAAAAACCAACAAATCCTTGCCACCAAGTTGATTCCTGAGACCCTAGTAGAAATGCCCTAGGAGTCTTCCAAGAAAGTAAATCTTTACTGTATGTAGCTGACTACTAGCCCATCTTTGACCCATTCAACTGCTGGTGGGTTCAAACTACCACCTTTTTGGTAAGCAACTACTACGCCACTAGGGTTCCTTTACAGAATAACTAAAAAAATCTTTTAAAAAAAATTGTGCAAGACGGCTTCAGAGTCTCCAGCTGCGTGTAACTGTCTCCTGTGAACAGTCTCTCTCTGCAGGTGAAGTTTCCCTACCCTCCTGCAGTACCCCAGACCAAGGCTTTCTCCTTCTAGGTGAGTACCAACCTTGGCTTGTCCTTTTAGAGAAATACCTTGAGACTGGATTCTGTGTCAACATCTCATAACTTGACAGAAAGGTAAGAATCTGGGAGAAAGAAGTGATCATCATGCGCATACCTCCAGTCCACCAAACAAGGAAGCCAGATGGAGGGAGAGGCCTGGAGGCCCATAGCCCTACTTCCTTTCCTTGAAAGGGACACCTTCTACCATCTCCTACCCCTACCCCCACCCCAACGTGAAACTTTCTTCCCAAAGATATCCACCCTCCCCCCACAATGCATACGGCGAGGGAATGCCATGGAGCTGAAAGACTACGGAATAGAGCAAAAGGACGGACAGACTCCGGCTTGAAGAGCCTCGGGAACACACACCTTTCTTCCATCTGTCGTGTATAGCTTCATCACGGGGCACCGCAGGACCTCGGTGAGGTACTGCAGAAAGGCCTGGAAACTCTGCGTGACTCTCCGGCTTACCACCACGGCACGCCCCGTGCTTGGGTCACCATTTCGGAAGACCACGAGCCTCCGAGGCAGTGCAGGAGGAGAGGCTCGACGGAGGGCAGGTGGGTAGATAGCCCGGCTGCTTTGCCAGGGCCGTGGCCGCCGGCGAGCACGCTCCAGGTCCACCGGCTGCACTCTCTGTCCGTGCGAGCACAGGTACGACTGGCCGTCCTGCAGCTCCTCCAGGCACGTGATGCTGTGCATGCCTCCAGGGGTGCTGATGTTTCTCACCCCGAAGGGCAGGGGAACCTTCCAGGACAAGTTATCCAGTAAAGCATCGAAAGTCTTGAAGGAGCGAGGATTCAACACCACCTGGACGCCACCGAATTGGGGGTCTCCGCTCTTATAGAAACTGATCCGTTTGGCAACAATAGGATGAGTGACGCTCAAATGGCGAGGGTAGGAAACTCGACCTTCAGAAGGAGTTGGATGAATCCTAGAGAAACTAGTGGAAGGGGTTTCGCTCATTTTGATAAAACCTACAGAGAGAAAAAAATTGTTAGTCATCAGAATGGCAGCATCATAGAGAATACCTGATAATGCTGGTGACTGGTGGTGGTTGTGTGCCATGGAGTCCGTTCATAGCGACCCTGTACAGGGTTTCCGAGGCTGTAAATCTTTACGGGAACAGAACACCTCATCTTTCTCCCGAGGAAGGACTGCTGGTTTCAAACTGCTGACAACGGGATTAGAAACCCAACTCTATATAACTACTAAAATGAATGCTAATTATAATTGACATCCAGGTTATTTCTAGGATTTTTTTCATACATTCATTTACACCTGATAATTTTTACAAATAATTTTAAGATTCCTACAACAAAATGATGTAAGGAGAAGAGTTAAATAGGTATAGTTATCATTCAAAAGAAGTCCTGGTGTGGTGCTGCAGGATAATGCCCTAGACCACAAGGTCGGTTTGAACTGCAGTCAGAAGTTCAAACCTCACTAGTCACTCCTGGAAACCCTATACAGGGTCCCTGTAAGTCGGAACCAACTTGACATATATAACAACAACAACAATCATTTAAAGTGAAAACAATTTAAATTCATTTATAAGAGCTATTGTTATTAAGTGTCCCGTCCTGCGAGTTCTGACTCATAGGGACCCTATATAGGGTTTCCCAGAAGAGGCTGGTGGTTTTGATCCTCCAACCTTGCAGTTCAACCTTGCGGTCCAGTGCTTATCCTATAGCACCACACCAGGACTCCAATAAGAGCTAGGTTAATAAATTAATGATTTATACACCCATGCAATGGAAAGATATGCAAGTTTTAAATATGGTTTATAAATCTAATTTATGGACATAGAAAGATGGTTATGATATATTGTTAAATGAAAAAAGCAGTTTATAAAACATCTTATTTATTTATATACTCATATTTATTATACAGTGAGAGAAAGATGAGGCTTTCAGCTCCTGCAAAGATTAAGTCTCGGAAATCCTATACAGGGTCCCTATGAGTTGGAACCAACTCAATGGGACTTAACAATAATTTATTATACAATAGAGAAAAGTCTGAAAGTATGAGAAAGTTCTACTAGTAGTTATCGCTGGATGGCAGAGCTATAGACAAGATTTGTGTTTTTTTAAATGACTGCTATATTTTGTAGTTTAAAAAAAATTAACAGGAATTATTGCACAATTTAAAAATAACAAGAGCATAAATCACACACTATTCAGTGATAAAATTTGTAGTTTTGCAGTCAATTTAGTTCTTCATGTAAATAAAATGAGGAAAAAGAAGAAAATAGGGAAAATTTATGAAGTTCTAATCATCTCTTGTTGCTGTTAAGAGCCGTCAAGTCAGTTCCAACCCATGGCAACCCTGTATAGGGTTTCCGAGGAGCAACTGGTGAACTTGAACCATCAAGCTTGCCGTTCAAATCGGCTTTGCAGTCCAGAGCATTAACCCACAGCACCATACCAGGACGCTTAGATGGAATTCAAGGAGTTCATATGAAGGAACTTTTTTCTTAAAGTTAAATTCAGGAAGAATGCTATATAGCCCCTTGGAGGCAGGTAGGGTGGGGTTGAGGGTATATGTTTAGGTAGTGTAAAAAAAATTTTCCATGAAGAATTGTAGAAAATGAAAAAAAAAAAAAAATCTGATATACCATTTACCATGGGAGATAGATGAGGCTTTCTGCTCCGGTAAAGATTTACAGCCTCGGAAACTCTACACAGGGTCACTTTGAGTCAGAACCGTCTCAATGGCACACCACCACCACTGATGAAGTCAGAGTTTGTAACTGAAGAGGGAACTGTTTTGGGAAGGGTTGTTGAAGTTCTGGGTTTGTTTTTTTATTACAGCATTGTGTGGCTATTTTATATTGTTTTAAGCCAATTTAATTACTGGTTTCTTTGGACAGAGGAAGAATAATACTCTACTGCTTTGAAACAAGGGTACAGTCTGAAAACAAATTGAACAGAGTAAAGAAATGTAATCGGTATTGGGGATGAAAGAGGCATGTTAGTCCATATAAGTCAGCCAAAAAGCTGACCCAAAACACTTACTTAAATATCTGGAAGCTGTTATCTAAGCTCTTTTATATATTTCCAATGTATTTTGCAAATTTATTTATTTATCTGTAACCTATGAAGATGTATGAAAAGATTAATCCAGAATTTAGATGTGTTTCCCCACTATCCTTCTCAGAGGTTTAGAGTAATTATGTACTTAAGACAAAGGAGACGGCTCTAGTAGGTTTAGCCATCAGGAGCTGGGGAATCCAGCTTTGCAGTGGAGTCAGCAAAATTGCAGCTTCGTCTCATCCCCTCCATTCACTGTGCTCCGACCTTGGACACACTGCTTAATCTTAGTGCCCTCTCCAGCTACAAGAAGGATGAGCTCCTTCAGCATTTAATGAAAAGACTTCAGAACACTTTGCTTCCATTGACTTTTTTAGCTTAATTTACTTACATATATACTTTAAAATGGAGTCCTGGTGTGGCGCTGTGGGTTAATGCGCCAGACTGCAAAGCCATTTTAACTGCAAGGCCGGCAGTTCAAGCTCACCAGCTGCTCCTTGGAAACCCTATACTATGTGTCGGAATCGACTCAACAGCACTTAACAACAGCAACAAATACTTGAAAATGTTTTACGTGAATGATATTTGACATGTTTTCCACCTAATTTTGCAAAATAATATTTAGCTATATTTAAGTACCTGGATTTCATGATTTGGAGAGTTTTTGAACTGGTGACTATTTTGGGGACACGTGTGAGCTAGAGATTTTGTCTTTCGGGATATGGGGGCTGAAATCAGAGAATGGAGAACTCATTGAAAGTCAAGGCTAATTGGAGGGAATGGGTGGTCTCTATTGTTCCTACCTTACTGATGCCTAGCTCACAGCACTGGCTTCAAGGCAGCATATGAAGGGCAGAAGCAGTGGAGAAACATTTGTAGAGAGAGAACCTGTCAGGATGGTTGTCAGGCACCATGATGTGGTGGTGGTGTTGGTGGTATGCCACCAAGTCAGTTCTGACTCATAGTGATCCTGTAAAGGGTTTCTTAGGCTGTAAATCTTTACAGGAGCAGAAAACCTCATTGTTCTCCCATGGAGCAGCTGGTAGATCAAAATACTGACCTTGCCACTGGCCACGCAACTCATAACCCACCACTCTACCAGGATGCCTTCCCTGATGAGAAGGCTGTAGCAAAAGTTCATATCCTCATTGTAAGTAAGAGCTCTGGAAAAACCCAGAAGTCACCTGGTGAGGTTTTAGAGAAAATGCTGTGATTCTGAGCACAGGCAGGTAAGGCTTAAGACCCAAGGTAAGCTTGTGTACCTAACATTATGACAAAGAGTAGCTTGTTGCTGTTGTTAAGTGCCTTCAACTCAGTTCCAACTCATAGTGAGGTTTCCAAGGAGCGGCTAGTGAGCTTGAACCACCAACCATATGCGGTTCAAACTGACCTTGCAATCCAGCACATTAACTCACAGCACCACATCAGGACAACAGAACAGAAGAGTATCTATTGAATAAAAGGATCTCTGTTTATACAGAGCACAATGTCATCATTGGTGAAGAAAGTACAAGTCACATTCCCTTTGAAAGAGATAGGTCAGCTTTCACCCTGATATAACCATGTGCACCTCCTTGAGAGTCCATGGAAAAGCAGAGTACTTTAAAGCACAGTTGAGAAAAAGCCACGTTACCATGAGAGTATCAAGGAGAGGGCAGTAGTGGTAAGAACTGATGGTTTCAAAATTCCCCACATGCTAGAAGCTAACATGCTAGAGGCCAGAAGAGACTGAGATGAAGAAGGCAGCTAGTTCAGCCTTCAGCTGGGACACACGAGCAAAGCCAGCAATGTGGTCAATACATCTTAATATTAGAGTGTCCCATCTGTGAAACAGAACCACCCTCTCCTGTAACTTTTAGTACCGGTCTCAGTTCTACACCTTTCTTAATAAGCCTTTAGAACTAATCAGATCTGGATGGAAAGTTGATATTGTAAACAATAAGGCTTACTCCATGCCCTCAGTAGTTGAATAATGCAGTAATGTACTTAGGGGCTACACAGGAAACAAACAAACTAAAACAGCTTAAAATAGATGAATTATTCTCATAAATTATTCTTAAACTAGATGAAACACGTAACAAGAGGAAACAATAGACTCTTAAGACCTCCACTTTCTCCCTTGGAGGTAGTAAGCTCTTTGCTTCCAGATAAATTTATATTAAAATTTGAGTTGATGATTTGACCACTTACTACTAATATCTTTCCCCACATTTTTGCAGTTCTTAATTGCCTGAAGTTAGACCATAGAGCTATCATGAATACTTTTATTAAGGTGAAGCAGATTTTTCAATACCCATTTGTTCATTATAATCTAATAGTTCAACCATAATTAGAGTTATCTGTGCCATCATTAGTGTGGCTGTGTGAAGTAAGCACTGGACTGCTAACCATCTAACTAGCAGTTGCATTTAAGTCTGTGCTGCTCAGAGCTAGTTCAAGAGAAATTTCTGTCATTTTCCCATCACTCAACAACACAGATCCACAAGATACATTCATCATTACACCAATTATATTTTCTACCTAATTCTCTATCATGTAGTTGTCAATGCAAACAATTTGCACTTGACTGCTAACCTAAAGGTTGATTGTACTAACCTACCCAGCAGTACTGTGGAAGAAAAAATCTGCTTCAATTAAGGCTGTCAAGTGCCATGAAGTTGGTTCCAACCCATAGCGACCCTATATAGGGTTTCTGAGGCAACCTTGGTGAACTTGAACTTCTGACCTTTTGGATCAAACCAACTTTGTAGTTCAGCACATTAATCCACAGTGCCACACCAGGAAAAATCCTATGGAGAAGTTCTGCTCTGTAACAGACAGGTCGCATGAGTCTGAATCGACAGAAGAGCAATTAATAACAATAACAAGAAGCAGGAATTCAGGCAATTTAGAAGGAATAAAGTAGAAAACAAAACAAAAAAAGAACACTGATAA